AGTCAATTTGTGTTCTTAATGTAACATTCATACTTTGGGCCAGGGGGAAAACCCCTGACACACTGGGCCTCTGGACCTGTGCGTGCGTGGTAGGCCTTTTCAGTAATCCATCCTTACATGCATGTTGGCAGCTTTATGTGTTCCTCTCATTACATGTTCATATATGTGGCTGTGCTAGAGTGCATCGCTGCATGTGTAAATCTTCTTGAATCTGTGTGTCTATACAGTATATGTACTCTGCCTGTGTGTGTGTGTGTGGTGTGTGTGGTGTGTGTGTGTGTGTGTGTGTGTGTGTGTGTGTGTGTGTGTGTGTGGGTGTGTGTGTGTGTGTGTGTGTTGTGTGTGTGTGTGTGTGTGTGTGTGTGTGTGTGTGTGTGTGTGTGTGTGTGTTGTGTGTGTGTGTGTGTGTGTGTGTGTGTGTGTGTGTGTGTGTTTGTTGTGTGTGGTGTGTGTGTGTGTGTGGTGTGTGTGTGTGTCAGTGTCTCAGCTCTGCTCCAGCCGTAAATTAATTTGTCAGTGAAGCCCATGTTAACTGTTGACACACTAATTTACTGTGGCTTCCCGTAAGACCTGCTCAGTAATATGGCTTATTGATGAGGCCACAGGGAGTGTGTGTGCTGTTATGTGTGTTTGTGTGTTAGCATTACTGAGTGTTTTCAGTGCTAGTGTACCCATACCGTAGATGAAATATCTGCAGCGCCACTGATAAATACGGTCGGTCCAGTGGTGATGTGCACACATAAATATTTACTCTCTGTGCATGAATGTGTCTGTTCGTGCCGACACTTTGATAGCTGAGGGTCAGGTGAAGTATGAAAGTGTCATCGATTTTATTTTGTATCTGTACAGTGGGGTTACAATCATGTAAAATATTATTTTTCCCATGATTAGATTTCTCTGACTCTGCATTTTCTTTAAATGATGACATTAGAAGAGGAAACCGGATCAAGGAGCTGGAGAACAGAAAATTGGACAGTGGTGAAAACCTGGAAAAATACAGTTACTGCAGAGACATCCCTGGAGTCTGGAGGTGCCAACAGGTTGCCGGTAAAACAAAATAAAAACTAAGGACAGCTTCAATATCCGCACTCAGACAGACATCTTTTAACTCTGACGCATGCACAAACATTTATTCGGAGGCACACATGTGCAGAAGTGAGGAGAGGTTGATGGATGAAGAGCTGCCGGCCCCTCTGAGATCACCACATTCTCCATGTGCCATTAACCTCAGAGACGGATGGAGGGATGGAGGTGCTAAAGTGGTAATCAGGAGGATCTGGAGAAATCATGTTACATTTCGTGAATTATTTTGAATTACTAGCTGATTTTAAACATCCAAACAACAGTGCACGGCAAGTATATTGTTATTTTTACACAGTTCAGTAGTAGATTTAAAAATGGTTAATAAAATACAAGAATGATGTTTGTAGAGGTCAGCACAATTTGCAAATGTGGTAATGTTATTATTATTTTACATTTCCTATGCAGGTTTTGAGTCATTGTAATTGTGTCCCTAGTTGTCTGCTTAGCCGTTGTTCCATTTTATTCTGGTTAAAATAATATACAGGAATCCCTAGAAACTGATTTGATTTGAAGTTAATTTCAATATGTATTTTTACTGGATCTTAGATTTGAGGTTCATTTTCAAGTTATTACAGTAGTTTTTAAGTTGTCATTCAGTGTCAAAGCAATGTTTTCTAATTAGGTCAAACTAGAGGCTTTTGTGGTTTGTCTCCAACGACTGGGGCTGATCTTATTTTTCAGAGGACTTTAGAAGAGATTGGTTTTGGGGGGCCCTTTACAAAAACACTGATATTGCTGATTTCTTCTTCAAGAAAAAGAAAAACAACTTCAAGCGTGTGGGGTCTCAAGTCTCAGGGCAGTTAGTCTGCATCGTTTAACTGCTGAAAACGAATCCTGCTTGGCACCCGGAGGGACAGAAAAAAGGGGGGAGAAGAAGTAGAGGGTGGCAATGTGTGGAGAGAAGAGAGGAAGGGAGAGGAAAGGAAGGAGAAGATGAAATACAATCGAAGACATAAGGCGACAAAATGGGTAAAAAAACTCAGAATACATAAGAGAGAACAAAGCTTGAAAACTAAGAAATAAACAGAGGGGAAAAAATGACGGAACACAGTGGGGATAGTCCAAAAAAACAACCTACAGTAAAATGCAGGGTAATGAAGATACATAAAGAGTGCATGAGATCATTCATCAAATCAGCGGAACAGAGAGAGCGATGGAGGATGCGATGTGGTGGTGAGGTGAGGACAGGGCCAGTAGTGCCTGTCGACAGGCAGCAGACGTGCTCTCCCCCTGACACAGAGCGAGGATCCCCTTACCCTCTGCTGGTCTCACAGCTCTGTTGCAACTTACTCTCATATGAATGCATTACTTCTCTCCATTCCATGACTGATTATAGTAGAGTCTGGTTAGGCTTGACCACTTGCAACCTGTTAAAGATCTAGCAGTTGGTAGAAAGCTGTCGAATAAGACATGACAATACAACATTTAAGTAGAATATCAGCATCATCTGGCACTTTCTTGCCAGGTCAAGATAATTGAGTGGCATCTCATGTTTTAAACACAGCCCTACAAATGCACCTAACATGTTATGACCCTGGAAATCAGTTCTAGTTTCAGTGAGTGACATACACTTCAAATGTGTATGAGCTGCATTTCTGTCCATTTCCCTAAAATAGATACTTGATGATGTCAGTGTTAACTTCTGTGAAACCCAGTCCACTGCTTGCCAAGCAGAAAAGGTGTCATGGATTAGCATATCCTCATTTCACAACATACTGTTATACACAGGAATGCGTGAAGTCCAGAAGGCTTGGGTCCATGTGTTGAGTTGCTGTGAATTAGGATGATTCGTTAGGGTTATTGCTGACTCTTTCTGAACAAAGGCCCATATTTTGGATGTTAAAGGCTAAATCAAATGTGTTTTCTTCTGTTTTATCAAAATCTGTTGCAGTTTGTTAGGATCACAGTCATCCTACTCTGGTCCGGACCAAACTACTGGTCTGAAAGTCTTACAAGAGGTGGTCTTGTTCCTTTTCCAAGCTTAACTAAGTGCAGTTCAATTGCAGCAAGGACACATTCCAACACAATTAAGGGAAGTGAACAGAAATGCAAGGATTATGGGCTGCCTGCATGTGCATTACTTGACTGACGTGTAATTCTGCCGAAGACCAACTAATTGCTGGGCAAAAGAGAACACACCGTATATGCTACAGTAGTTACGTGCACAAAAATAGTGATGTATAATAAATCATATCTAATGAACCGGAGCACGATTCCTCCGTACAGTTGATCAGAAAAGAAAGTTGACATTTATTGCATTTTGATCAAAGTGGAAGCTCTCCTTTGTAAACTCCTTCTTAGTTAATCATTTATTCAATTAATAAACTAGTGTTTTGTGAAACTGAACCAAACTTAATAGAAAACTAATGAAAAATATTAATTTCCCTCTGATTTGGACCAACCCAAAAGACTTGCAAGGCTTTCTAAGATACAATAACTTAAACATCAATATAATGCCATTTTCATTATTTCACTCCAATTTTAGAACTGATTGCCTTTCTGCAAATGAATATAAGGTGGACCCGTTAACCTTTAAACACCACTGCCAAAACTTATGTCAAGAAAGGGTGTTTCATATTTTATGAGTGAAAAAGTCAAGATTAAAGAGATTCTACGCTACGAGACATCTCAGGTCCTTCTTATCTCTATTGGTCAACATAAGAGATTTCTAACAGCTCAAGAATGTTAGATTGATATCAGCATGTGATTGCTCAGTGCTCTCATCACTTGACAGACCCCAGTTGGCCGGGCTGGGTTTAGTTTCAGTGGAAAGACGCAGGACGAGGGGAGCGAGATGGGTAAGAGGCGCAGGTTACAGAGGCCGTACGATGACAGGGACCTCAGGCATGAGCAGAGTAACTGTTACTGTCTCTCTCCTGTCACGGAAAAAGAACTTAATACCTTGAGACCTCCAGAGATGTTGAAACATCTGAGTGACGGCTTGATGGTGTGTATCTGCGCCTGCGTGTGTGTGTCACATGTCACTGAGACAAGTGATTCACCTGCCTGCTGCTAATTGTAGGCCTGTGACAGTAAAAGTCAAACTCATCGGGAAGTGAGATATGACAATTTCAGCAGTCCATGAGTGATTACTGGAATATGTAATCACATGTTCTCAGAAAAAATCGGCTATAAATAAAGGCCAAATTATGTTAAAAAAAAGGATCCGCAATCGTGAGAGAGAGAGAGAGAGAGAGAGAGAGAGAGAGAGAGAGAGAAATTAAATGTAAGTAAATAAATTGAGTCATCTTAAATGCATCAAATTGTGTGTGTGTGTGTGTCTGTTTGCATCCAAGAGCTCAGCCATTATTACCACAATGGCTGCTCTGCATGGTAAGTCAATCTGTGTTTTTCACTGAAAACATTATGTTGTTAATCTTTATAGCAAATCAAAGTCTATTAGCCAAGCATGTTTGGTCATTTACTATCAAATTCCTCTCCCTTCTGATTAGTTTATACATGCTCATGGTCGATGTTTCCATCCTAGTGCTTGTAAGCCATGCAGCAGGTTCCCTTTAAAACACCCAGCCCTACTACAAAGCTCGTAAAGCTGTGCTGTGGGTCTCTGCTGTCCCTGTGTTCTGCTTTTCCCTTTGTTTCCACCTCCTTCTATGTAATACTGAGAAAGGTGGAGGAAGAAAATAGAGAGGAAATAAAAGAGTTATCTAGAGAGAGAGAAAGGAAAATAGGTGGAGGGGGAATGGGAGAAAGGAGACATTCGGTATAAATGAATCAAAAAGGGAATGGTAGAAATAGTGGAAGGTGAGGCAAAAGGAGAGGGAGAGAAAGGGGGAGTGAGAGGGAGATGAAACTGCTCTTTAATCAGTGAGGGGCTATATGGAGGCGGGCCGAGGTGCCTACTGTAATCCGATACACGCTCGCGCGCACTTCGTGCACGCACACCGAGACAGGGGATTGAGTGAGCAGTCCTGCGCGCTGCCACAAACCCGGCGGAGAGCGGAGGGGAAGGAGCGCACTGACGGAGAGAGAGAGACTGCGCGTGAGGGAGAGATAGAGAAGCGGTATAGAGGTGCGTGTTCCAGCGGAGAGACGCACCGTTTGCAGGAGGACATCGGACAGGCTGCACGTCTGCCTTCACCAGATCACTTTTACGCACGCACGCCGGAGCTGCCTCTACACAGGAGATCTCGTGTTTGCGCAAGAACGGACTGTTATCGGGACAGTATTAGGAAGATAACCGTTTGGGAAATATATGTTTCTTTCTTTAATCACAGGTGCATTTTAAGAAGTAAATGCGCAGTTGGGAAAGAGAACCGGAGCAAAAGATTTTGGGATATTTGATCAAGAAGAAGAGGAAACACGAGTGACACTTTTTTAGTTTTTTTCAAACTTAATGGACGCTTGCTAATGTTGTTGATGATCCCTGATGGTTTTCACCTGTGATTTTCACTTTTTTGGCATTTTATGATTTTGTCTGTCAGCGAGTTTCAGCCAGGTTTATACCCCCGCGCGCGCTGAAACTGACAGGGGGACACGGGGCTGCCATCTGTGCGCACCGCAATGGATTTTGAGGCTGATTTCAGATCAATTTGCGCACATTAGTTTATTTTCTGTACAAGAGGAAGCACACGTGGACAGAACTCGCGCAGATAGTTGGTAATCTTTTTGGAGAGTGCGCTGTACGCAACCAGGCATTTGTTGTGGATTGAAGCACTACTTCTGCGCTTGAGAGAAACTGAAAACTGTGAAAAAGAGACTTTGGACTTTAGTGTTGTCTCTGATATCCAAAATATACCACAGAGGAGGAGAAGAGGTTCTTTTTTCTCCATATCCGAGGGAAAATATGGATGTATTCATATGGCTTTGTGGATGTTTACTGGCTTTTCTCTCGCCTTCAGCGGTTAAAGCAGAGGAAGGAGGTAAGTTTGACACTTGTGCTGCCCGCTCAAATCACACTGTCACATGGAGGTGTTAAATGGGAATTAACCCGCTCTTTTAACGGAACATCACCCCAATCCACATCACAAATATTCGTTTTTAAAACACATTAAAGATGGAGTGTTTCGTAAAGGACAATTGGTGTTTAACGTGTAACGAAAATGCGTAATAAATGTTAAAAAATAACATTGTAGGAAACCCAAATGATTACGCTAAGGGGGCTTACATTAGCCTTCAATTTCTTCCGAATAATGCGTTTATTATGACAGTCACTGGTACGCTGATTAGTTCACAGTTAGGAGAGAGATCCTTATTATAGGATGTCCTGTCTTCATTAACATCATTGACCCATCTTGCAGTGGGAATTTCAATATAAAAAGTGAGTTAATAACTTGCAATAAGTCATGAACGAAAACGAAATCATGTACTTGTTATCCCTAATAAACTTACTCGGGTTAATGCTTAATATCGCCTGTTTCACTTTTATAATTATCAACTTTTCCATCGCCTCACTGCACTGCTGGTTCCGCTCCTTTCTGATAAGGGATGTTGGGAGGCTGGCTTCCTATCAATATTGATTTTTGTCATCTTGAAAAGATCTTAAACATATGCTGTTAATTTTAATCTGCAGTACAATCAATGACCGTTCTCAGGAGAGCCGTTCAATAAGGAAAGATCACTGTAATAACCACCTTATATTCCTATCGGGAGTAATACCAGTAGTCTTTAAGGTTCAGGAGAGTTAATGAAGACGTTATCGCGCTTGTATTAATGTCATTGTCTCTATAGTTCAGGTTTACAGCATTCCTTAGAAAAATGTTTAACGTGAGGATTCAAGATTAATGTGCAAACCGAAACGCTTTTGTTGGTTGAGCGATGAGGAGGTGGTGAATGTGACCGGGTTACTGTCTCCGTCTGGAGGCAGGCATAGGAGCTCCTTACGCACGGAGGTCCGAGGCTGAGAGGTTCTTCTCAAGTCTGTCTGTGGCTGCATTCTCTCTGATGGGAGACACGAGACACAAGCTCTGCGGTTTGAACTCGATTAAATGATGCAGGGCTAATTGTTAGTTAATTTCACTGGTAAAAGAGGTTAATTGTTAGTTTTTTGTAGGTATGAAAATAATATGTAGGCACATGGTGAACACTGCAAACATATTGTAATGCATGATTGTCCCTTTGGTTTAGAATAGAGAAGTATTTTAGTTCAGTTGGTTAACACAAACCTACATGTGGTGTTTATGGGTACCCTGATGGGTCTCAGTCAATGATAACTAAGAATGTAGGACTATTAAAACAAATGATCTTGAAGAAAAGTCAAATTGTTTTATATTTTACAGTTGAAGTCCCTGTTTTTTTTATGGATTTAGAGGCAAAACAATCTGTTTTTGTCACATTCATAGTCTCCCATGATTGCTCAAAGTTGTCTTAGCAACACAAAAGATTGAAGTTGTCCCAACTTCTGCTTTGATACATGTATTTGTGTGTACACAGCTTACAATACAGGGAGTTGAAAAACACACCTATGAAGAAGTTACTTGCATTCTAGGTTTCATTGATTTAGAGCTTATTCAGGAGGCTATCCGGGGCTTTTTGCAGATCTCATGACTTGAATTCAGTAGCCCGTCTGCCAAATGTTGTTTTGGAGGAAAAGCAGCTACGTACAGAGAGAACAGGGGAGGCATTCTTTACCTCACACTTCACCTCTGATGTGAGATAGCCTATGTGCCGTGCCACTGTGAACAGGCGGTTAGGCTGATGTCACCTCTGAATGATTAGTTCCTCCCAAACTATTGCTAAGTGCTGACACCAAATGTACAATCCATAGCAAATCAGTTCCATTCCAGATGTACAAACTTTGATCAACATCTTAAAATGGACTCTATGTATTCATTGCAAATTAGCAAGTATGAGGTTATGATAAAGGCAAACATTGAAAAGGAAGTTGTGTTGGGAAGGGTAAATTCACATAAACTTTTAAATCTGACCAGGGTTTTTTGCTTTTAACCATGACAGGTGTCTTTAAGATATAAAGATTACCACGAAAAAATACTTACATGTGATGTTGTGAAAGGCACTCACAAACTAGAATTGATTGATATTCTATCATTTTTCTGCCAATATATCACCCTAAATTCCCTAGGGGGACTGCCTCAAGCTCCCTTTAGAGATCCCACTGATGGTACCCAGAGAACCACTGGAGCACTCACACATGCTCAGCAGTAGGCGATGCAGGATGAAGCTTCCTCAGCATTAAACTTTGTACAGATGCCTCTGCTCCTCCGTCTCCGGAGAGAAGAGCAAGGGAAGCATAGTGAGACTAAGAAGTGTATATATAGCGAGCGGCAGGAGGGAGGGATGGAGGGCGAGGAAGTAACAGAGACAAACAGGCAGAGGGAAGCTGCAAAAAGAAGTGAATGAAACGGAAGAATGATTTTTAGCCTTGCTGTTTGATCCTGTTTCTTCATTCCGTTTGATCACAGCTGTGCCTGCAAGGGAGATAAACGGACATAATTGGCCACTCAAGACCAGCTGTCTGCTTCTATAGTGTCTCTGCTGAAATGTGCTGGATGATGAAACAGGCTTACTGTGAAGCACAGTGTAAGAACTAAAAAAGCAGTGAGTGACTTGCCCACAGGTACACAGTAACAACTGGTTTATAAGATTGTTTTTGATGGATCCAACAAATCTGATGGGATTGTTTAAAAGTCCAAAACAGAGGGGAAGACATGTTGTTGTCAAGGTTTTGGACATGAAAAGTCTACAACTCTGCCTATTGTAGGGATTTTGGTTGTGCATAGACTTGTGGTTGGAACTTCACAGATAAAGCCGGTATACCCGGCTTTATCTGTGAACGTTAACTTTGTGCTGTATTGTAAAAGACTCAAAAGTAGAAATTGAGACAATAAACCCTTCAGGAAAATGTTTACTGAGGTAAGCAATCAATTGAGATGTAAGGGTCATTTTTTCAACAAGTCCTCCAACTCATACGACCAAATAGGTCGATTGTTCAGCAGCTTATTACGACCCAGAGTCACGTTTTAAAGTTTAGCACCTCTAGTGGACGTGTAAGAAACAACAATTTGCGGCAATAGCAAACGCTCCGGAGGGTCGTATATTCACAAATAACCCTCTCTGGAAAATCCTAAATTGTAGAATAGTTTGGCCATTAAAACGCTTTTTGATTACATTTCTAGCGAGAAGTGTATATTGTACTTTTAGAATCCACGTCCAGTGGATGTGTAGGATCTATAGTTTGATAGATGTTACGAACATTATTTGAGGTCTCGCCAGGAGAACGTGTATGTCTTTCTCCCTATGTAAAGTTAGCGTCAACCCTCACCGGGTGAAAACAGTATTTCCGGTCTCGAAGTTTTCATAATAAAACCGTATTCCCCTCATTGTCAAATGATTTCACAGTGATATCTGCCATACTCATCCACTAAAACATCAGTTTATCCTTGTTAATTACACAACATTAATTGGTTTAAATTGTGTACAATGCTTTTGTGTTTTTCCCATAGGTTTTTCCCTTTCGATTCTGGGAGACACATTTCTTTTTTCAGAGGTTTTGATAAAACATCGAACTACCCATAATCCTCAGCTATCGTTGAAGCTCGGTGATTGGATGTTTTAATGCACGTCGGGACATTTATGCGATGTGAAATCTGAAAACATTTATTAAAAAAAAGAAAAGAATACTTTATTCCGAGTGTACTGTACTTGCTTTTCTCTTTGGAAGTCATCACATAACGGCATTGTAATACACGGTTCGGCTGCATTAAATATTACACATCTGCCGTAGTTCTTTATTTATAGAGCCCTGATGAGAAGACTTCTAGACAAACTGGAAGAACTGCCGCCAAAACAGAATGCGTGACGTGTCGTGGATCATAAATATATCAGCAATTAATAACATCTTCAATTTCTCTTCACACAATATGTCTCCTTGCAGTATCAATAGTAATTCGGTTGACTTTTATATTTGATCCAATTGGTAGATAGGTTATGTTTACACCATAACGGTGCACAGATGATAGACAGGGACTTGTAGTTTGTAAAGATATTACTGATTTTCTTTGAATATAAGAATGTAAATACTCAGTTGAGAGAATATTCAGGGGTTTTGGGTGATGGGAGACACATCTATGGAATCAGAATTTCAATAGCTTACTATTAAATGATGGATATACCTCAAATATTAATGTGTAGTACTACAATATTTGAAATATTATAGCAATATCCAGTAAAATTATGTGAAAACATGAATAAAACTACACATCTTCAGATGATATACATACATAAGTGTCCTACACTAATAATACAAAGTTATTATGGCATTGTATGCTGTGTGTTATTTGTAACATCTTCATAAAGTATAAATTATTGTGTTAACACTTTAAACTTGACCATTTTTTTAACATGCACCGCCTTGTGGTTAAAGCACGTTATTGAATTTTCTTGTTGAATATGTTATATTTGATTAACATTTTTAAATATTAAGAGTATCCTACATACAAAATAGGGGGAAAGTAGAAGGTCAATGATAGAAATATAGAATAGAAAATATCAAGAAGATACTATAAGTGATCTCTACAATAAAACAGTTTAGTGCAGGACGTCCAAAGATATTAACAGGAGGATGTGCAAAACAGACAAACTAATAAGGCTTTATTCAAAAATTAAAGAATACTTTAAGTTAAGGTCTTCTTTTGAATTATAAAAACACTTTGGGGGTATCTATCTACAGATAAATATTAATTCTGACAAAGTACTTAACGTCTAATATATTGCATAGTTTATTTTGGCACTTGACAATCACCTTCCCTGAATTTTACTCAGGTGTACTAAAGGTCTGCTTTAAGGGTTGTTTTATATTTCTCATCATTAATCAGAATTTGCAAAGTAACTAAAATAAAGGAAGTGGAGTAAAAATACCAGGTTAACCTCTGAATTGTAGTGGAGTAGAACAAAGTGTGATAAA